TCTTTCCATCAGTGCGTATTTATCACAACAGACAAAGGTGTCGTATTTCTGTGGATCAGTGCCTGTTTAAAATCTACAGCTTCTTTCTTTACAGCCTCTTTGGATCATTGTGGGATTAAAAACATGACCTGTCTGATGTACCGTACTGATCTAAAACATCAAACCATTTATTTCTGAGAGGGTTTTCACTCTGATTTATGTCCGCCTCATCATTTTTGGCTTCTTAAAGAGAAAGTTTTATTTGCTTTGTTTGTGTTGTTGGATTAAATCACAGGAGAACAGAGACATTGAAATCAGAAAACCACCGTCTGACCCGAGTTTACAGACCTGTTTGGATCAAGGTTCTGACCCTGATTGCTGGTTCCCAGTCGGATCCAGTTTAGATGCCACAAAGATCATTAAAACCAGGGGCAGATTTAGGAAATTTGGGGCACTAGGCAAAGACATGCAGGGGGCCCCTGAACTGAGAAGACAATACATAAAGCAGACCCATTATACAGATACACCATTTTAATAGAATAGACATAAATTATCTGTTCTAGGTTGTGTCCCTCTCTTCTTGTCCCTTTTCTTCTTGTTTTCCTCTCTATGTTTTGAACTCAGCTGACTTTTCATGCTGTCTCAAAAGGAATGAAAGATTTTATCCAAGCACTAAGCTCACTTAGCTGATTGCTCCTTCCTGTGTTTTCAAAAAGGCCAAAGTAAATAACCCAGTCCTTCTTTTCACTGTAGACAAGCCATGATCTGCTTCTCTGTTCTCCATTTTTCATTTGGATGAAATAATAGCTGCATGAATCATGACAGCAGACAAGATAGAGGAGAGCAGGAGGCGGGGTTACCAATCTACTCGCTCTGGAGAGCAGAGTTCGCTGCTTTTAGATGTTGTCGCAAAGTCTGTTGTAGCAGAAAAAAGTCGCCAGATTCGAAAATAGGGTCACACTTAATATTATAAGCTTTCTGATGTCATTTTAGCAAAAGGATTTTTATCAAAAACATAATTAATGTGAACAAATAAGGAGTAGATGTATTAACCATACATGTAAACAGGGTTTTATGGGCCCACCAGGAACTTTGGACCTTCGGCAACTGCCTAGTATTTCCCAATGGTAAATGGTTATGGTAAATGAAATTCAGGGGTTGAGAATTTAATAGTTTTTAGAAAAAAAATAAAGAAATGTAGCATTATAAATATCCAGTCGTGGTTTTAATAACTCCCATCCAGATCAATGTGTTATAGATCGGAAGCAGAGCAGATCTATGTTGATGCAGATGTCAGAGAAGCAGCTGCATGAGGAAGATATCAGAGTATGGTTAGTATTTTATACTCAGACATCCAGAACGTGAGGGTTTGATTTGAGAAACAATACAAAGTTAATGTAAATATGAAGACAGACGTCTTTCTTTAGGGCTTTATCCACAGACCCGAATCAGCTGCTAAAATAATAGAAATGCTGCTTTCCGTCGGCTGGATGTTATAAAGCTGTTCTTTGCTCAGCCTCCCTCTCTGTATCCCAGGCACACAGTGCCCCTTGTGGCTAATATCAAACCTCCTGTAGGAATAAAAGCCACTTCTAGCTGAGCTTCCATCGCCTGTTCCCTGTTTTCTATCCCTGCAATCAGTCATGATGCCAATAAAGACTCTATAGAAACCCAGATAGTCTGAGCTGCAACAGGCACATTTTAACACTTAATATTCAGCACAGGGTTACATAATAGCCTCTGCAGCAGGTGGGCTGAGAGCGGAGAGAGAAACAAAAACACACGGCCTTTATATGTGTTTGCTGTTTTGACTCGAATCTAATGGGTTCAGCTAGAAATGAAATCTTCTCTCTGCCACGGTGGTCAGCCTTGATCTGAAAAGAGGCCCCCAGCAGCGAAGCTGGACCTAAAACCCGCCCTTTTTGCCAGACGGCCTGGCTCGTCTGGCGGATGAATTATCTGTCGGTGTCGTGTGAACAAGGATTTGACAGAAGGTTGAGTAAAAGAGGAGACAAAAGTTAGGACGTATCAGATTCCCTCACCCCACTTCCCACATGCCTTTTTTAGTTCATAACTGCCGAGGCTATTAATTATTAATGAGGACAATTCTCCGGCGTGTGGGATGAGTCATGGTTCCTGCTACCGGGTCTTTCACGAGCCAAAAAGGTTGGATTGCCACAGAAAAAAGAAAAAAAAAGAGAGAAAGGGGAATTTTTAACCCTTAAAGGGCATTAAAGTTTGATGGAAGTGCCTAAAAACAGATGGTGTTGGGCGGCTGGACGGAGGGGAGCTGCTGTGGAAGGAAAACAAGACAAAAATAACTTCCTTTTGTTTGAAAACGGTTCAAATCGCCCAAAAACAAACAGGCAAAAGCTGCAAAAATCTTAACATTATTAGAGGACATTTTTTTTTTCTATTTTTTGCTCTAAACTTGAATTCAGTTTAATTCCATAGCATCAATCCACATTATGTCATCTTAGGTCAGTTTATAGATCCAGATCAATCAGATCATCCAGTCAGATTAATAATGAACATTACCAGTTATTGACCTCACAGCTGCCATCAGCTCACATTACCTTTATCAATTTACTGTTAAATGTTAACATAATTCTAGTACCTATATTTTAAAGTCAGGTGTTTCAGGAAATGCATTGAATAAAAGCAAATATAAGATCATATCGGATTAAAAATAAACAATTCTAAATCTTGATAGTTATTTCATTCCTAAAATTGAAACGGAAACCCAGAACTTTATATGGAACCTATTTACAGATTTAGTATTTGCATTGTGCTGCTCCTTGTGAAAGCCAAACTAAATATTAAACCACTCGGCCACGGCTCCACGTCACTTTGATCCTTTTCCTCTTTCAGTTTATACCAGCATACATCCTGCAAATCGCTAATTTCTGTTAATTGTGTATTATTTTTGAAGAGATTTTATTTTAGCCTGCTTCCTCAGAATCTGCTCATAATTTATTGCTATGGAATAACAACTGACAGAAAAATCTAGAGCTAATAGTGTCAGATTGGCTTTGCAGATGCAAATTTCTGCTTCAGTGGCTAAAATATTCCAGAAGGCTCCATTTAAAAAAAAGACATCTCTAAAAGAATCAAACACTGCAAATACACAAGACAAAGAAGCGCCCAAATGATAAACACTTAGAAAACATATAGAAGATCAGATTTATCCAAAGAGAGGATTTAAAAATTGCTAAGTTGGGTTTAACACCCATTAAAATGGAAACATGTCAGCAATGTCCTCTCATGTAAATGGAAAAATCACGATCTGCATGATCGTTCATTTAAATTTGACTTGATTAGAAGTAGCAGTGGAGATCTTTGGGTTTGTTTGGAATTAGTTTGCATATCAAAGTTTTAGTGAAATTTAAAAAGCTAACAGCTAGCCATAATGCCAGTTGTTGGCTGGTTTTAGCTCCTCAAAACAACCTAAACTAAAAACATAGATCTTATACTGCAACATCTTAGTGGTAATTAAACACCAATGGCTTCATTAGTCGCTGTTTTCTTTTCGTGCTTCTACGCTAAATTAACATCGTCAGAGGCTGCAGCTGCGTCGCTTGATCTTCACTGGAATCATTTTGTCAGACGTTCCATACTCTATGGGGAGCTGGACGGCGCTAGCAAGTCAGGTTGATGCAATCGAAAGCTTTAGCTAAAATAGCCTTTGCATATTTTCACTATCCGATCTGCCCTGAAGCACTATCCGCCCTGCGCATGCGCCGTTAGCTCATATGCGCTTACAGATATAACATTTTATTTTCTTAAAAAGATCTAAATGATGTTTTACTCTCCCCAAAAATAGTAAGCATGCTAAGATATAATTTGTGTTAAAGGTTAATAATGAATTTCCTTAGAAAATGAATGCTTTAAAATCTTTTCTGTTTTATCAATCGTCTCTGCCCCATCTGCACCAGAAATGGGATCTTAAGCTACTTCTGGTGGTTAACATTAATGCATATAGTGCGTAATCTAAAGAAGGAAACAACTAAAATGCAAATAAACATGGTTTAATCATATTTTGCCAGACTTCTCTGAGCATGTCCCATGATGACGTCAGAGAAGCAGTTTAATAAAGAAAATGTAAAAAGCATCACAATTGTCTCACATAAGTCATAAAAAAATGTTGTTAAAGATGTGTATTAGCATTCTTTAGTGAGTTAAAGATAGAAATAAGTCATTTTAGTACCATAATTACATTATTGATGGACACCCGGATGTATATTGGTTTGCCGATGTGCAGGAGGGATCGTGCTTCCGGGACAGGTCGGGTAGTGACACATAGGTCACGTTTAGCCTTTGCATTATAACCTTTAACCTTTGCATAGGTAAGCTCCAGTTGTTTGGCTCTGAAGACAGCAAAAATACTGAAGTCAGATTATTGTAATTTTAAGCTGTTTTCACTGAGGACTTGTCCAGCTCTGAGAATTTTTTTTCAGTTTTAGCATCTATGCCATTTACCCAAACCAGATGAATTCTAATATGTCTGCTAATGACTTTCAGCTGAACAAAGTCATTTAAAGGCATTCTATATAACCTCAACAGCCTTTTCTACTCAACAGTCTTGTAGCTATGCTAATCTGGAAGGGGAGGCAGAGGACGGCGTTCTGCACTGCAAAACTGAAATTAAATTAGTCATTTTTTTCTCAAAATACCTGCTTTTGTTCTTGAATTGAGGAGGTATGTGAGACACTTAGCCAATGGAACAAGAATTTACATTTAGAATAAGAAATAACAATTGCATTGTATATTTTCAAGTGCACATTATCTAAATATCTTACTATAAGAGTAAAAATACTCATTCCTTTGGCAGATAATGTCATTTACCTACTGAAATCAAACGTAAATAGACTTAATTTAAGAACTATTGACTTATTTTTAGATTGTTTTTGCAGTGTGTGTCTGACGTTGCTTTAAAAGATGTGATAGCTTGATGTAGTTTTACATTTTTGCAGTGTAAAAAAGTATGAAAGGTTTTAATTTAAAGGAAAAAGGGGACACAGTGCAAATAGGTGCTCATTTTAATATCTTGATTTCAACATGATTATACAAGAGAAAATGAACCAATGCACAGGAGATTTCTGACCAATAAAAAAATTGTATTTATTATACTTCTCATGATACATTCTACTCATTTGTAATGTCAAAAACACTCAGAAATTTAACTTAACAATGCTTTTTTTAAATAAGGACCAAATAGAGTTAAGCTGATAAAATAATTTTAAAATTCCTGACAGCTAAACCCCAAACTAAATGAAATTATTTGAAGCCATCATGTCTGATATTTTTATTTTTTTTTACTTTTATTGCACATGGTGTTTTACGGTGCGATTCTGTCCAAGTCTAATAATTTAGATTGTTGATTAGTTGGTTCCCTCAGCTGTGGCCTCAGAACGCCTCCTCTCCCAAACACAACAATGCCAGAAGCACATCAAGTTTAATGCACATTTATTTTGGTTGCATAATGTCGATAGGAAATCTTTTTTTTTTTTTTTTTTTTCCCCATTGGGAGATAGAAGAATCGGGAAACTGCTCAGAGGTTTTACAGACTATCAGGCCTCCTCTTGTCAAGATGAAAAAGAAACGCTAAAGATTGCATTTCACACTCTTTGTCTGCAGGTTCAAGCTGCTCGGCACAATGAAGAGAAGCAAAGACCCACTTAGAGCAAATCAACAGTCACTCTGCTCAGCCTAAAAATAGCTCTGAAGAGTTCTTTCAAGTCCGCTCCGCTCATTTTCTTTCCCCTTTTTAAATAATACCAATAATTCTTAAATAATCCTGTATAGAAAAATAAGTTAACTATGTTGTTAATTCTTTTAACTAAGAATTGAGCGCTGGCGAGGGGTGCAGGATCACTGATTGAAATATATTATGGGTTGGTTTTAACACTCTGATTCATAGTCTCTCGAAGATGCTCCGTCGCACAGTATCAGTGTGTACTCCTGTGTAGATATCAGTCTGTTCTTGTAATTTACAAACCAGTCCCACAGATACAAACAATGTAAGACTTACAAAATAAATCCCAGGTTACGCTTACATGGCAAGCAGCTTTGTAACTTTTTTTTTTTTTTTACCTTCAGGTTTCTTTTTCATTTTTTTCCCCCCAAGAAATAATGTCTCTGACAGTGTATGTGCCGTTAGATTTCACCCCCCAAAAAACATACGTTTACTGTAAGTAGCAACTTCAAAGAGAAACACAACTCCATTCAGAAGACACTATATTTAACATGGCTCTTTACACAAGAAAGCAAGTCCTTAAATCATTCCCAAAAAAACAAACAAAAATGAGTTTTACAGTGCCCTCAGTTGCCATTAATGCAAAACAGGAGCCGTTTATCCCCCCAGCAAAAGAGCGGGCGTGCTGCTGCTGGTGGGTAATCCAGACAAGATGGCAGAGAGTCTGCTGATGACTTCAGAAAGGGCCTCCAGATGCGAATCACCGCCACGATTTCAACCAAAAAAATACCGGGAAAAAAGTGGCATCCATAAAAGTCCACAATTGTTCAAGACCTCATTCCAGAATCAACAATCCTTGATCCCTTCCAGAACAAACGATTAACACCCGATGCTCCCCCTTCTTATTCCCTTTGTTAAACACGGCCTGATGGCAGCGAGGTATATTCTCAAGCACTGTTTTCAATACCCTTTAATTTGGTTGAAACAACAAAAGGAGGAAGAAAAGAACAAAAGGAGAACAAAAAAATAAGTATCAATATCATTAGCAGCAAAAATACTATGACTGTAAGGTTGATTTATTTTTCTGTAGGGTCCTGTGGGATGTTTGCAGGATTCGTACAGGTAGTGGCATGGATAATCCAAAAGGTCTTTCTCTCTGAAATACATCCACACCATTTATAATAACAGCTTTGTAGTGTGGAGCCATTTTGTCTATCTCTGCATTGGTCATTAAGGATTTCCAGAAGGCACTTTTTCATTCTGTGTGTGTGTGTATGAGCGAGATAGAGAGACAGAAAGAAAGAAAAAAAGAGAGAGAGAGAGAGAGAGAGAGAGAGAGAGGGTGGATGTAGGAGAAGACAGAAAGCCGGAGATGAGAGCAGTTGAATAGTGTGTGTGTGTGAGGCTTGAAGAGCACACAGAAAAAAAGAGAGTTTGCCTGTCTCTTGGCCTGTTTGTGTGTAAGTAATCAATTCTGACCATCAAACACAACAGTCCCTACATTTTACTAAGGGCAGTCTGCTCCTCGAGCACCTGCAGGTAATCAGGTGTCCCCTGGAGCTTGGCTTTCAACTCGTAATACTCACTTTTCCTCTGCTCCACCACGATCTTACTGTGGTTCCCACCTATCAGGGAGGATTTCTTCATCTTTTTATCCAGTGTCTTTTCAGGATAGCGGATTTCGTACCCGCCCATCCCTATACTGTTAAAATCTCTTTTGCTGTCCAAGAAGTTGTGGATGAAAAGGCTGGGTTCTCGGTTAGGGAGAAACTCCTCGAGCTCGTCGATGGTGCTGAGCCGTTTGTTGCGCTCCAAGGTGGAGAGCAGGTCCTTGTCCTTGTCGGGACAATTCCGGAGGATGATCTTCTGTCTTTGCGAGTCTGCGAACTTAAAGCCAGCATCCATGTCTGAGGAGCGTCCCATGCCGCAGGTGTGGCTCTTGCCAATATGCTCAATGGTCTGGGGAATGAAAGTTTCGCCTCCCAAGTCATCCCCTGGGATGGATCCTTTTTTGCCAGATTTATGGCCGTGCCGACGAAGCTGAAGAGACAGTGAGCTGCATTCCTGGTTCCCCAGCCCCTCCTGCCTGCCTGCAGGTTTTTTATTCCGCCTTAGGACAAAGACTAGAAGGCAGAAGGCCACAAACACAGTTAGGATAAGCACCACTAGTATGCTAAGGATCATAATCGAGAGAGGCACAGGCCCTCCTGGAGGTGCCTTGCCCACTCCTGCTGGTGACACTGAGGTCAAAACTGGAGTGGCGCTAGTAATGATAAGTGGAGGTCTTGCAAGCCTAGGACAGAGAATCTCATTTTTTATTAAACGCAGCTCGATGTTGGCAAACTGCACAGGAGAGGCACATTTCACCTCTTTTGCAGCCACTCCATCACTTAGTTTCTGCAGCCATAGCTTGAGTGCAACCAGATCACAGGAACACTCCCACGGGTTCCCCTCCAGGTCTACTTGGGTAAGTGACCGAAGCTGGTCCAGGACGCCGCTCACTGGCAGTGTCATGAAGTGATTGTTTTTTAGATTAAGTCTTGCTAGAGGGACGCCAGCAAAAATATAGGCAGGGAGACTCCGAAGGACATTGTTGTTAAGATACAGGAGTTGTAAATTGGGCATAGAATCAAATGTGCTTGCGAGGATCTCTTTGATGGCGTTGTATTCCAAATAAAGGTACTGCAGGTTTGTGAGGCCCAAAAACATCTCTGGGTGTAGTTGTTCAAGTTGGTTTCCATTCAAATACAGTCGCCTCAGATTAGTGAGGTTAGCAAACACACCTTTTTGTACCGCTGCAATTTGATTACTTCCAAGATGGAGCAAATCTAACCCCTCAAATCCTTGGAAATCACTTTGGCTGATGTCACGGATGTAATTTCCACTTAAGTGAAGCTTCTTGGCATTTGGGGGTTTGGAGGTAAGATCAGCAAGATTTCTTATACTTCTTTCTTGACAGCTTACACTAATGCCAAAGTCAGACGGGTGGGCTTTACAGCTGCAGGGGAGTGGACACATCATTGGGGGAGTCCGTGTCTGAAATGAAACAATCGGTCTGGTTTTTCCAAAAGGGGGTAAACCGGCCACAATTCCATTTCCATAAAATTTAGATGAGTCTGTTGTTTTTGTTGATTTTGTGGCAGCAGGAGCCATTGTGGTCGGGGCCATATTTGAGGGCCCCTGCCCGTTTTCAGGCAGTGCAGGTGGCATCCTGATATCAAATTCGCTTCCCGTTCCCATGGGACAAAGCTCTTGTCTGTTGGTTTCTTTCAGAAGTCTCCCATATAAGTCACTTGGTGTTTCACATATGGCCTCACCAATAAATATATTGTAGGGCATATTTTCAAGCCATGCTTTCAGAGGTGCTAAATCACAGGTACAGTTCCAGGGGTTGTCGTCCAGCTGCAGCTCTACAATGCGACCGATATGTTCCAGGACCCCTATGTAAGGAAGGTTCTGGATCCTGTTTCCTCTTATATCCAAGTGCGTGAGAGAAGCGAAGCGGAAAATGTTCTCAGGAAGTGCCTGTATGAGATTGTCATTCAGAATCAGCACTTTGAGTTTGTGCAGTTTGTTAAATGCTCCCTTTTCGATGTATTTTATTAGGTTGTAGTCAGCCTGAAGATATTCCAGGTTTTCAATGCCTTGGAAAGTGTCAGCTCGTAGCACCTTTAACTCATTATTATTAAGGTGCAGCTGTTTCAATGCGCTCATCCCCATGAATGCGCCGCCTTCAATGTTCTGCAATTTATTGTTCCCCAGCTGCAGTGACACAGCGTGGGTGAAGTTGAGGAACGAGTTTGGGTACAGTATGATTAGAAAATTGTTCTGGAAGTTCACGTGGTACAGGGAAGAGGCCGGAGGGATGAGCTGCGTGGGCCGATAGACGGTGATCTTCTCGCAGTTGACGTAGAGCACGTTCTCCACCGACATGCACGAGCAGGCGCTGCAGGTCTCGGCCATCAGATCCGAGGCGGTTGGGTCCATCATCGGAGGTCCGTCTGACATGGAGGAGAGGGATGAGGAAAGGGAGCCCGAGATGGAGGAAAAAAAGGCTACCAGCAGGGGTACGAGCAGCATCTCGCCGGTTAGATAACCTCCCCCAGTAAACCATTTAGTAACCTTTGGGAAGAGATAAAAGAGAGAGACATGCAAAAACATTCAATCACTCAGGCGTAGACATCTATAGAAGCTCCATATATGCACACACAGTACCAGACCCTTTACAATGCATAACATGTATCTGAAGACAGTTTCTTCATATCCAAGAAGAAAGAAAAATTCCAGTGTAATGCATTGGATTGCTCGGCATTTTCGTTGCTGCCTATGTGGCTCTGGCTTTCATTTATTATTTGTTCTTACTCTTTATTACTAGACTAAAACTACCCAGAGTACTTAAGCATACTGAACGCTGCTCATCTCTGCATCTTATTCTGGCATATGAGGCTGATGCTTTGCCTTAAAAAATGTCAAAGGCAGCAGACTGGTTTGGCTTATTAAACATGATCAAAGTCAAACCGCTCTAATTTTTCATGAGGTATCATCTAAACCCAGCTTCACATGGAGTATTTGGCAGCACATAACCGAGGGGGGAATAACTGGGACTGCTAAAATGTTGAGATGCCTGTATGGGACCATCATTGACGTCTATCAGACAGAAAACATGAAAGCAGTTCCAACCTTAAGGAGTGACCTGAGAAATTATTATCCTGAAAACATACCATCCTAAAACAAAAACATGACTTACCATAAGCTGCTGTGGCAATGAGCTCGGCTCCCTCCGGAGACTCGGGGCAGCATTGATGGAGACGTGCGCAAAACAGTCCTCCCAGCTAGAGTGTAAGAGCGCAGACGGAATTGGGGGGGCGCAACAAGGTCTCTCCAGCCCCTCTATGTTCCAGTGCAGTTTTAACACAATTCAAGCAAAACTAGAAGGAGGACTGGGGAGGGGGGGAGTAACAGAGGAGGGAAAGGAAGTGGGGTGGGTAGATAGGGAGGGTGTGGGGGTCTGGTTTCATCCGATGCGTCTCTTGCTGACAGGTTCCCTTTGCTTGGAAAAATCTCCCCGCTGGTCATTTGGCCCCCAGGGTGGCTGTACTACCTCCATGGGAGATGGCTCATTGGCTGACAGAGGAGATGAGGTCAAGTAGGGAGCTTTTTCTCCTTTTTTCTTTTTTTTTTACCTTTACAGGTCTTGACAGTGTGTCCAGAAACGCAGAGGCAGGAAAAAGGGCGCAAGACGAATGCAGACGGATAAATCTCTCATTGTTAAAGGATATTTCAACTAAAAAAAAAAAAAGGAGAGAGGAGGTTCCCACACTGAGCGCCTGGCTTCAGATCTGCACCGCAACCTTCAACGATCCATGGAACAATAAATATGGGGTTGTTACCAGCTGAAGTTGCGCAAAGGGATAAGTAGCAGCCAATGCGCTCCAGTGAGATACTGGGTTATTTTCCATCCCAGCAACATAGATCCATCATTGTTCTTTCCTTAAGAAGAGCTTTTTGTTTCCACCAGAATGCAATAGGTGTTTAATAAAAGGGGAAAAGATGCTGCTCAGCTCATCTTATCAACATCACCCTCAAAAAACAAAACACAGCCTGCTCACAAGAGTCATATTGAAACTAGAAATTTGCAGTCATTCAGTCCGCTGTGGTGCAAGTCAGGTGCTGGAAAGTCTGCGCTCTCACCATCCTTTCCATCCCCCCCATCAGAGTACAGTCAAACGCAACGATGGGAGCCAACTAGAGGAGCGTTCCTCCTTTAAAAAAAGGAAAAAGAAAAATTAGATTTGTATCCAGATAAAGATATCGATGGTTGAGGAGGAGAACAGGATCTCATTACCTCGTCCTATAGAGGCTGAACGGGACCAGAAGTCTGCTACTCTGCAGCCGCATTCATGGAGCTTCCCACACGACTGACAGAGAGGAGCGCAGAGATGTAGGGAGAGAGAGAGGGAGGGAGAGGGAGGGAGAGGGAGAAGCAGTCGGAGGGGGGGGGGGGTCTCTCTCAGAAACTGAAAAAACCTCAGACCTTGAAACAGATCCATTATGTCGAGCAAACACTTCTGATGGCTGCATTCTCCATTTTCTGCATTTAGATCTCATCTGTTTCTTTCCTGTCATTAGTTCTTTATACAATTAATTCCTTTTCTCTTGTCCAACACTGTAAGATAATCAAACGGCTAAAAGAAAATAAGATAAGCCACTTTTCTCATCCTCATTCGGACGGTTTGGAGGGAAGGAAAAGCTGCCACACGGCCGCAGCTTCTATTGGTGTGGGGGGGGGGATGTGCACGCGTGTATGCGTGCGCATGAGCTGCATTTTAACCAGAGCAGAGAGGAGAGAGAGGAACTGACCGGAGGAGGGGGAGGAGGAGGAGGAGGAGCGGGGAGGTTGTTGCTGCGGTTGGAGAAAACTGATGAGGAGGAAGGTGGAGGAATTCACTCCATCCTCACAGCACTTTGCCTTTTTTTCTTCTCCTCCTCTTTTTATGCGTCTTTAGAAAAAAACAGAGGTGGGATTTCCTTCAAGATGGGGTCCCCCGTCCCACCCCCTCAGTGGTGGAGCGTGGAGGCAGACCAGAACCCTGGCTCTGTGGGAGCAGCGAGGAACTGACCTGAAAGCGGACAGCAGCAGCTGCAGAGACTCACCTCTGGCTTCCTCTGCTACAGGTGGTGCAGCCAAACGAAGGACGGACCGGGGCCAGCAGAGAGAGGGAGGGGCCGCAGGATGTCACCTGAGCGTGGAGGCAAACAGGTCACCAGGTAGCAGATGTTAACGGTGACCTTTAGTGACTCTGACTGAACAGGAAAGAAGGTCAGGAGTGGATGTAACTGGGTGTCCATGGAGAATAGAGACTGGCAGCATGAGGAAGACCCCCCCCCCCCCACCTGCAGATGTTTAAATGCTCTGATGTAAAGGGCCCTTCAGCGCAAACAGTATCAGAAGAAATATCAAAATCACAACGTTTAAGGTAGTTTTATTTCATGAAAAATATCCTTTTTTTTCAATCATTTTAACTCAATGCATTTAATATCTAATTTATTTAATAAAGCATATTTAGTTTAAATGAATAAAAAAGAGGATTCCTTTCAAATGCATAACGTTTAGTCTTTGCATAATAATTAGGTGACATATAACACATCAGTAGCATATTTTACTCTTAATTAAAGGTCAGTTATGCTTATGGGATAAACAAGAACCATACACTGGAAAAACGATCTACAAATAAGTTAAAATGTCTTAAATTAAATGTATTTAGCCTTAATTTGAGTAGGTAAATGAGATGATTTTCCAATTAAATTAGTATTTTTACTCTTAAAATAAGATATTTAGATAAAAATGAACTTTTTTTCAGTTTTCTTATTTTGAATGTAAATTGTCTTGTTTGATTGGCAAAATGTCTCTTTTTCCTTCTGAATTCAACATCAAATGCACCTATTTTAAGAAAAAAAAATGACTTATCTAGATTTAGATTTCTTTTCAGCGTAGAATCATAATGCATCACTTTTATTTTTTATTATTAATGATGATTTAGAACAATCAGTCCATCTTATTGATTTAACAGCTTTATTAACCTTAAAGCCTATTTAAGATATATTGGAACACCAAATGATGCTTAATCTTAAAGTGATGCTTCAGTATCTTAATGAAAGTTAAGTTTGTTTATTTACAGTAAGACACTGGGATCCAACCTGGCCTTAGTTAACCTTCATTATTAGAAAATAACTTAAATAACAACTAAAGCACATTCTAAGAACAAATTTATTTTAAAATCCTAAACAGGTTCTAATTGAGTCAGGAGCCACCGTGGCCGTGTGAAGTGGGGTGTTCTTAGTGTCGTGAAATAAAAATGATGACCAATATTTCACACAATTTATTAATTTCTTATGAATATTCTGAGAAATGATTTTGACTTCTTTAATTTTACTATTGCGTATATTTGGATTTTAATTGAATTATTTTGAGGCCTAATCAACATAAGGCAAGGCAAGGCATGATTAAAATACAGGAAGATAAAACAGAATCAAAGCAAGCAGGAAAAAATAAAATAAAAAATGCAGAAACAAAAAAGAATATTAAAAACAGTTGGACTAAAGAAAATATGTTTTAGTTGAACTGTTTAGCTAGAACAGTCGAAGGCAATGGTAACGTTGTCATGGCAACGTCAAGCAAGCTAGAGCGTGTCCAGCAGCAGCGGACTCGTACATTTCATGCCAGCCGACCGAATCTATGTTGTTATAGTGTTATTGTGAAATTTAATCAATGTCACATTTATTTATTTATTAATGTCCCGGCTGGTCATTGGTCACTCCGCTAACCAGCAACGCTCAGCAACATGTGGGGGCAGGACACCAACAGATAACTCCTGCATTTAGAAGGACTTTAAGCCACAACAGAAGGATTATTAGTAAGTTAGGAGTCACAACTCTAAAACTCTTTGATATTGGACCACAAGCATGGTGTTAAATAATGTGTTGTTGTTTCTTTTGCATCAGATGACGATTAGCATCTCCATGGCAACCACTAAACAATCAGCTGGACTCACTCAGTTTCCCTTAAGATGTTTTCACACCCATTCAGAAGCACTGCAAAAAAGTGTCTCTTAGTGGCACTTACTGCCAATTGAGTAAGACAAATTACATTAAAAATAAGATAAAAATTCAACAATTGCAGTCTCTTATTTCGTTTGGATCATTGCTAGGTTTCTTATTTTAAGGCTAAACATACTTATTCCATTGGCAGATGATCTTATTTACTCAAATTAAGGGTAAATACACTTTTTCTAAGAATGTTTTACTCATTTGAAGATCGTTGTTGCAGTGAATCTTTGTCAGCTCTGTCGGCTCCATCAAAGCACACTGCAAAACATTCTTAAGTGTATTTACCCTTAATTTGAGCAGGTAAATAAGATTATTTGCCAATAGAATGAGTATTTTACTCTTAGAATAAGATCATTAGATAACATGCAGCTTTAAATAAAACAATGCAATTGTGTTTTCTTATTTTAAATGTAAATTGTCTTGTTAATAATGGCAAAATGTCTCTTTTACGTAAGGTCTGAGGTTTTTTTAACAACTGCAGTTATTTTAAGAAAAAAAATGACTTATCTAGATTTTAAATATTTCCAGTGCAACCACTGATGTTTCTAAGCTTCTGGAGCTCCCTCCATGCAGCCTGCAGCCCTTCACTGGTTAGCTCAGAAACATTTGTCCCCTTTAAAGTTGATGGACACCAGGCGCTAAATGTTCCCTCCCCCCAAAAAAAACTAAAAACCCAAACTACACTGCAAAAACAATCTAGAAATAAAAAATAAAAAATTAACTTTATTTAGCCTTAATTTGAGTAGGTAAATTAGATAATTTGCCAATGGATTGAGTATTTTTACTCGTAAAATTGAAAATTATAAAAAGTGCACTTGAAATAGGAAAATGCTATAAATGTAAATCGTCTTGTTCCACCGGTAAAGTGTCTCACTTACCTCCTCCATTCAAGACAGAATGCACTTAATTTAAGACAAAATGACTTATTTAGATTTCATTTTTTGTCCCTGTGGCTCCAGGTTTAATTCCCAGTTAACTGCAGCACTGATGGCAGCAAACGGCCCCCCCTCCCTCCCTAATCTGGAGTCTGATCATCACAGCTACTTCAAGCTACAAGTGTTTTGATCAACAGTAAATAAAAACACTCTGGAATGATTAGTTAATGTATGCAAACCAGGGTGTGTCTGCGCTTTTCATCACAGCCACCTGCACCTAGAGGGAAAACCTGCAGAATGTGTGTGTGTGTGTGTGTGGGGGGGGGGGGGGGGGGGGGGGGGGGGGGGGGGGGTAGGGGGGCAGATTTCTACAGTGAGAGTGTGCAGATATCTGACAGCATTTGGCCCTGCTCCTACGCTGGCTGTGAGCGGCCTGGGGGAGGCAGGCCTACAAGACACAGAGCCAAGGAGTTTACAAAGATACCACCCCCCCCGCCATCACCCACACACACAGGCTTCCGTCTCAGCTGCCATTTGTAGTCTGGCCATGAGGATGAGTCGATGCTTCCTATGTCCAAACAGGCAGCTCGGCCCGCTGGAGTCCGGTTGGGTGGATTAACCCAAAGCAATCCGATGTGTCTCTCTTACCAAATCCC